ACTGCCTGCTTGCAAGGCAGGCGCTTATGCCGCTAAGCTAAATCCCCATCCCCCGTTTTTTGTCTTTTTTTTTTTTTTTTTTTTGAGGTACCCATTCTTGTATAATGGAGCACAAACTAGCCTGCCCCACCTCTGCCATGAAAGATGGTGTTACTCTTCCAGCTGATGGGCAGATCTACTCTAAAGACACTCTCTGGCCTCTGGTGTCCCCAAAAACAAAGATGGGGGCAATGCTGTTGTCTGTCAACAGTGAGAGGAGGCAGGATTCACCGCCAAGCCACAAGGTGAGGAGAGGAGGGGAAGGGCCAGAGTCCATCCCTCAAAGGGAAGCCAATGTCCCTGGTTCTAGGGAGAAACTTCCTTTCCAGGCTCCCCTGGGATGCTGACTGGATTTGGGTGAGAACCTGTTGTTTGTCCCCCTTTCCCCAAGCCAGCAGGAAAGGGACTGGTCTGATCTGGCTTTCGATGTCCCCCCCTGGGAACAGAGCAGAGATTTCCTGCATGTTGCAGAGACCCCAGCTTTGTACCTTGTTCCTCTAGTGTGCTATTCTAGAACAAAACACAGGCATGCTTAGCTGCTCACCTGCTGGGAAAGGAAGCCCCAGAGCTTGGCGCTGGGTTGGCCAAGGATCAGGGGCTTCCACAGGTCTCACACACCATCAGCATGGAGCGGTGGCTCAGGTGTGTTCATACCTCGAATCAGCTCTACTGCTGTCTTCCGTCTGTGGCTCTGGTCCTACCAGCCCTCTTGCAATTCTAGCACTGGGGAACAAGAGCTCTGGTTTTTGCTTAAATCCTCTTAGCTCCCAGGTATAGCTGTGGTCGCAGGTCTGTAACTACACAGAACAGCAGCACCAGCGCCATCAAGCACTAATGGCCGTGTGGATTCCACTGGTGAGGAGCCATCGAATCAGGCTGATCTTAGTGACATGAGGGACATCATGGAGACCCACTCAGGTCTTCCATGGCCTGGAGGTCAAGGTCCTTACCTCTCAGCCAATCAGATAAAGGCATCAGCTTCTTTCACAAATGAGAACCTCAGCTTCTCAGCCTTAGTGAATAACTCATTAACTGAACTGGATCACTATTCATGGAGAAATGCAGCCCTCCAGCCCTTGGAGAGGATACAGTGGTCGTAAAACTCACACCTCCCTCTGTGCTTCACATATTTTCAGAAGCACTGAAGACTCCCTGTATGGTGACCCCAAGGTAGATACTGCTGGTGCTCACATCAGGAAACAGGACCAAGGAGTAAGGAGTAGTCACTCAGGGACAGAGGTGAAATCATGCCATCGACTTTGTCAGTGTGTACGTGTTGTGTAAGAGTGCTAGGAACAACGATCCATCGGGATTAGTTTTGAAATGTGTTATTAAAAACATTCACTCAGCATGAGAGGGTTTTTGGGCTCCTTGGCTGATGGGTTTCCTCAAAGAAGGAAAGCACATCAGCATACTAAGGCCGGGGCCCAGCACTGGGCACACATGGCCAGCAGCATTATAGCCCACCAAGTGGTATGGCTGCTTCAGGGTTCCACATCTGTCTTTCCTCGATTGTATCACAGGGGGTGCTCGGTGGCACCCTGCAGCTGAGGCGGAGAGAGAGGTGTGACTAGGTGTTGACAGTGTGGGTTTTGACATTCAGGGATAGATCATTGTTTTCAAGGACGAACCCAGAACCCCATCTGTCTCGCATTGTCATTTTCCAAGGGATGCTAGAAACCACAGACTTTCAGAAGGAATCGCTTAGCTTAATTCTACTTGGTCGGGGAGGGAAGGTTGTTACTAAACTAAAACCCATCTGTGAGCTTGAAGGCCTATGCACGCGTAGCTATCTGGCTTAGCAGGTGACTTGTGATTCCGTTTCATGATGCGGACAGCAATCCAGCCAACATCCGGTCCTGTCATTTCTGTGTTCCCATACCTGGGAAGTGGGAGTGGGTGGGCAAGGGCCCTGCACAGGCCCTCCAGGCCTGGAGACTCTGCCCCCCAAGGACCTAAGCAGCAAGGTGGCAGGGATGTGCAGGCCTGCCAGGGTGCTCCCTGCTCTCTTGGAGACATAAGGCAGGCACTGAGCCGTACCTAAGAGCTGCGCCACCACCGACCTCGTGTCGCAGGGCTTGTGCTTCAATTTCATGTCGTACACCGTTAGGACCTTACCCTTGCGATTCAGCAGCGTGATATCTTGTTTCATTCCAAGACCTTGGACCCATAAGACAAGCTCTGTCCCAGGTATCTGCATTTCCTGACTTGCTATCCTTCAGCACACGCCTTCTTTCTGGAGTTTGTTTCCATAGTTACTAGGCAATGCACTCAGATCCTCTCCTATGCTTGTCAAGGTTTTGGAAGGTTGCTGGACGGGGTGTCCTGAGGAGCCACTGCAGGAAGGAATGAGGAAGGGAGATGGCAGGGGTGGCTATCAAGTGTCCCATTGTCATCATGGACCAGAAGGTGGGCACACTCAGGCGATGACTTTATTTTGGAATAAAGTCATTTTGGACTTTATTTTGGACTTTATTTCAGATGGCTGGCTGTTGCGTCAACCTAAAACTGGTAGTGTACACTTCTTGGGAAGCTAAGGCAGGAGGATCATGAGTTTGAGGCCAATCTGAGCAACTTAGCAACTTAAAGAGACTCTTGTCTCAAAAAAAAATTGTTTTAAAGGGCTGGGGATGCAGCTCTGTGAAAACACTGGATGCAAGTTTCAGTGTCACTGAGAGGAAGATGGAGCTATCCACGGACAGGTTCCACACTTGTTGACCTCTCAGGGTCTGGGTGGGTGTTGCAGTGAGGAGAATGTCCTCTCCTTGGCATTTTATCCACATGGCAAATGTGGACGGGCAGGCAGGAGGAGTGCATGGCCTCCAGGGTCACCATAAAGAGCAATCATCTAGCTTCTTGTTCCTCTTTAATTCTTTAACCATCTTTCCCTTTCCCTTGAAGCCACTGTAAAAATATCAGCCTCTGTCTGTTAGGAAGTTGTGAGGTGGAAGAGGGCGCCGCTCTCGGGAGCTGTCCTGATGGGGACTCATGTACCATTGCTGTCCCATGGGAGAGAGAAGCACAGGGCGCAAGGTGGGCAGCAGGGCTAGCAGGAATGGGCCAGTGGGGAAGCACACGGCCCACCCAAGGGGACACTCAGGAGAAAGGCCAGGGTTGACACCTGATTTTGTGGTCCTCCTGCTCTGCTACCCATTGGCTGAGCTGCAGAGGAAGGAAGGGGTGCTGGAGCTCATGGATATAGCCAATGTGGTGCCAGGGGTGGGGAGTAGGCAGAGGGGAGCAGGGCATAGGGTACAGGGTGAACCCAGGGAGTGTAACACCCCTGCAGACGCAATTGCCATGCACCTCCTCAGGATGCTGCTTCTGTGAGTGTGGAACAACTCACCACACCCAGAGGGCAGCTCTAGGAGGCTCAGTGGTGGCACCCAGGGGTATGGGAGCCACATGGGGTGCTCCTCTCAGGAACCCTTGGGGTGCACCCTTGATGATAATGCACCAAGAGGGAGGGGCCAGACCAAAGCCTGGACTGCAGCCAGGACTTTGCCCATCTGATTAACTCCATGAAGAGCACTTTGCAGGGGGAAGAGATCCAGCTGTAGTTGTTGTTTCTTGGGTTGTTTTTCAAATAACCTGAGCTCTGTAGCAGGTCCTCTCTGTCGCGGATCACAGAGGTGGCTCAGGAAGCAGGAGCTGGGAAGCCTGGGGTACAGGGTTCTGGCAAGTTCTCAGGCAGCATCACTCCTGTGTGAGCGAAAGGGTCCATGGCTTTCAGGTCTTCCCAGCCTCCCATGTCACTTCTGGCTTTTTTCTGGAATCAGAGAGACCTGTGGATGACAAACTTCCCTATGTTATTCAGAGTGTATCTGATGCCCACAACGGCATGAAACAAGTGTCTTCTACTTTTCCAAAGCAGGGACCTATGTTTTTAATAGCGAGACTCTGTATCTTTGTTAATTGCATGACTGTGCTGTTGTCTACTGCCGTGAGTGACTACTGTGACTTCTGGAGCTGCCCGGATCCGCCAAGGGGGCCTGTTTTGTGGGGAGCCCTGGTTCCTACCCTCGCTGCCGTTCGGACCTCTGGCATGCTGTCCAAGTTGCATATTCTCCCACCCCCAGCCCCATGTCTTCTGAATCAAAATCGGAAGGCTGATTGTAGGGCCTCCATTCTTATAAAACTCCGCAGGAAATTCTGGTAATTGGCCAGATTTAGGAAAAACTAAAACAATTGGAGGAAAGTTAAAAAAAAAAAAAAAAAAAACTCAATACTCTGAATCGTTGCACCCAGATCCCAGAGTGATTCCCAAGCAGCAAGAGCCTTAGAGGAAGGCTCTTCCTTATATTTTGAAGTCTACAATTAGCGTGACCGGGTAATAATTCATGTCAGTGTTGAGCAACTGATCCAAATCATCAGGTCTGCAGTGGAATCATTTTTCACGGAAGTTGCTAAGGTTATTTTTCTTCTGCTCAGTCTTCTCAAGGTTAAAAGAAAACTCTCTGGTCAGGATCTGCACCTCTGCACAACACATCCAGGGACTTTGGTGTGTGTTGGTCTCTAAGCGTAGCTATACCTTGACTCTCACTGTCTGGCCCCAGACAGCTGACTCCCAGTGGGTGAACCCATGCTGTCCCATAGATGAGTTGGCCCTACAAGGCTCTAGGACCTGCTCCTGCCTCGTGGTGACTCCCTGCCCAGGACTGGCTGCGTCTCTTGTCGTTAGAGAGAGATGGTGACAGGGTCTGCGTCTTTGGGATCGCTCTGTGCACAGCCATCCAGGTTCCTTGATACCACTCGGTCAAGCGCCACCACGTCTTTGCCTCACAGCTTTGCTCCTCTCAATCACATGCCATGTGATGCTTTCGTGGCCACGTAGGCAGAACACCGGTGGCTTCCAGTGGCCCCTCCGTCTCATGCCAGCCTGAGGCCCCGTAGACTTAACTCGTGCTGGCTTCTGTGCCCTGCAGATCGCCGTGGTGTTCACCTGACTTGTTTATTCCTAGGGAATGTCACTAGTGCATCTGGGTCTCAGATGGCAAGCGGCGTCAGCCTGGGCTCCTTCAGCAGCCGACCGGACGGCATGCACCAGCGCTCCTACTCAGTCTCCAGTGCCGACCAGTGGAGCGAGGCTACGGTCATTGCAAACTCGGCCATCAGCAGTGGTAAGAGGGGGTGCAACCCCGCAGACCTTGGCCACCTCCAGATCCTCGTGTAGCCAGGCCGGGCGTGGTGCCTGAGCTGCCCAGTCCTCGGGGAGCTTGCTAGGACAGCGGCCTACGTCTTGCCTGTCAGCTGTGAAGCTTTTGTCTTTGATAGGCCGCCTCATCCACACTGTCTCATCTCTTCCTGTCTGGCCAGGGAGTGGACACTTGTCCCCAGTGGACAGATCTGGAAACAGTCCACAGGCGTGGTTGATCATGTGAGGAATAGGATGGTGGAGCTGACGGACAGCGTCAGCTGTTGCGTCCCTGGTCATGCTGCCCTACTCAGTGGGACCCACAGGCCACCTCTCTTGTACATTTTACATGCCAGGGCTAATTCCTTCTGCCTGTCAGGCTTCTGGGGCTCCTAGAGGGGCTCCTAGTGCACCCTTTAAATTCTAGGGCATCTTGTCTTTAATCCCTTGCTCCTATACATTGTCCCACATTTTTGGACAAAGTGGCTCCTGTTTGGGGGGGGACAAAGGTGCACGCTGGAAACCGTCTTAGCACACATGTGTAAACATGAACCCCACAGCACGGAGGGCATACCTGCCGCCTGGCTGCAGCCTGCTCTGCCGGTGGCATTTTGTCTGTGGCCTGCTCACCGGTATTTAAAGGAATTTGCACTGTTGTACGTAATCTATCAGACAGGGCTTCCAAGCAATTTTACATCATATGTTTTAATTAAAAACTTCAGCATCAGGTCCTCCCTGTAGACCCAGCAGCTGCTGTGGCCGGGCTTTAGCGTTGGTAAACATCGTCCCGGTTTCTGCTGCTCCGAGATACTCCCATGTGGTGGCCATGCATAGGCCACAGGAGTAGACACCACAAGGCCAGGAAGGGGGAGGAGAAGGTGGAGTGAAGTTGGTCTTGGTGGCAACAGCTGTAGGCCAAGTGTGCAGAGGTGCAGCATTGCCCGGCAGCCTGGCCCAGCTCACTCCCCCTTCCAGCTAGGCTCCTCGCCTGCTCCAGAGAAGACTGATAGATGACAAGCAGCTGTCACCCCTCTCCACAGGGCCTCTGTCGGCCTTTCTCCCTTCTCTGTGGCATCCCAGAGAGACCTCAGGTCCCCGTGGAGCATTAGATCATTATCAACAGTTAACCACATCCATGGACATTGCATGTCGCTTCCCTCCCAAGCCTCAGTTTCCTTGTCTGTTCAGGAGTCACCAGCTACAGGCCCCACCTGTGGCACCTGCTTCCCTTACTGAATAGCGACTGTCTCTCCTCATGGTCATGTTGCTTGGGAGGAGCAGCTTGGCCACATACCCCACACTTCATTACTTCCCTTTCAAGTACCGCGCAGTCTCTGAGCACAATTGTCCAGTACAGTTTCGTTCTGCCGCTGCCTCCCCCAGCACAGCCACCTTGGATGTGTGGGCTGGGCAGTGAGAGCTCCAGCCAGGACCCCCAGGTCCCACCCTGTATGCAGCTGCACTCCCAGACCTGGTCCCTCTTTGTGTCCGTGTCCTTGAGGCACTGAGCCTTTGATGAGAGCCTCAGCTTTGGAGTTCCCCTAATCCTCACAGGGGCTGTCTTTGGGGAGAAGAGAGGAATCAGAGGGATGGAGCTCAGTGGCACAGCATCTGCCTGGCCAGCACAACATCCTGAGTTCAATTCCTGGTACCCAGAAAAACAAAGAATGAGTTCCTGAAAGAGACCAACTCTGTGAATCTTTGCCACCTCTTCACTCCCAGTATTTTCTGTACAGTTCATGTGGTAACATTAATCTGCCCCCAATCCATTTGGTGCAGATTTTCCTTTGCACAGAGACCTGGTAAAGGTCCGCAGGGTGACTTTTCTTCCTGCTGAGAGCTATGTGTAGCTACCCAGGGATGTGTTGCACTGCCAGGCCCTCGGTGTGGCCGGAAGTCACTTTCCATGAAAATTGGTTACACAGATGTTCACATTCATGTTGATAGGGGACCAAAGTCCCCTAGGTGGGAAGGCTGCTTTCAGATTTGCAAAGCAGTGCAGGACCCCATGTGAGTGTCCTTTGGAGACCCAGGAGCTCCCTGACCTTATGCAACTACAGCTACAAACACCAGAGACCAAAGCCAAGCCACTGGCCACCCCGGTGTCAGTCTGCCGTGGGATGAAGAGAAGCCATGACCCAAGAGTTTGAGGAAATCTTCCCAAAGAGGATCATACTCCAGTAGTACTGAAAGAACCAGGTGATTTTTCCCTGCAGACGAGTGGGAAGAAGCCGGATGTGGTAGTACACATCTCTATTTCCAGCACTTGGAAGGCGGAGACAGGAGGATTCCCAGGAATTCGAGGCCAGCTTGGGCTACAGAGTGAGGCCCTGTCCCAAACAAAACAAAACCAGCAGGAAAAAGTTATTATAAGCACCGAGGGGCAACCTGGGCAAAGACGCAGAGGAGTAAAGGAAAAACGCAGCAGCTAAGGAACTTCCATAAAGTGAAACACGTGAGTCAAGTGTGACCAAAAAGAAGAGGCAGAAGACGAGGGAGGAGCATCAAGAGGCCAGAACCGCCAGGTCCATTTGCGTCTTATTCAGAACACTTCGGAGAGCAAGGACCCAGGAGCGTGGAATGGCACTCAGGCATGCTTTCCTGCACCCTTTACTGGGGTCTTCCTGGGGCCTGTACTGAGAGTGTGTCCTACCCAGTGTATGTCTGGAAAGGATAAACAGTAATGTGATGGTAGGAGCTGACACTGATGGAGGCGCAGGTGGATTTAATCTCCTTTCTTCTCACAGAGCAAGGACTCTTCTTGTCACTGTCCTTCTAGTAGGAAGCCCGCATCAAAGGGTTAGATATTCCTTAGGAGCAGCCACTAAGAGCCAGGACTCAGACTCAGACCTCAGCTTTTCCTTCTCGTCCTTGGAACTGTTCAGCAGTGCACACTCTTCAGGCCCAGTTCCAGACCCGTTGGATCCAGCAAGTGTGAACCTGTGTATCAACAAGCCTGTGCCATGGTCCGTGTTGCACGCCAGCATTTGAGAACCACTGCTCTGGGGCTGCGGATTTAGCTCAATGGCATAAGCACCTGCCTTGCAAGCAGGTGGTCATGAGTTTGATCCCCGGTACCAATTAAAAAAAAAAAAGAAGAACAAGATCCACTGCTCAGAAGCCTCGCCTTTCTAAGTGTGGTCCATGGAGCAGGCGGCCTCTGGCCTCTCCTGGGGCCTTGACAAGAAATGGAGCTGCCCAGGCCATATCCACACCCACCAGCCACATCCCTATGTCCTGCCTTCAGTGGCCCATCCCCAGCTATTTCTAGTAACTGCCTCATCCCGGGGTCTGATGTATTTACACCTGGACTTCAAGACTTGGCCTTTGCATATACATGGCCTGCAGTGCTTGGAGAATAATCACCCCAGAAGCCAACAGGAGTGGCTGCTTTGTCCCATGCGAGGTGCAGGCCACCGAAGCTTCCCTGCTTCCATTTGAAATCATTGTCTTTCCCCCTGCAGCCCTTGCCCATCTTTGGATTTCACAGTCAGAAGAACTTACTGTGCCAGTAGGCAAAGGGAAAAGCTACACAGCCTTGGAATAGACCTGGCCCTAACTGCTCGTATGCCCGCCATTGTCACCGGTTTTATCATGAAGCCTAATACTAACAGCAGCATTATGGTTCAGTTTCTCTCTGCCCCCACATCCAAGTGAAACTAAGACCTGGGCTCTAGAGAACTTTGCAACCCCTCCTACCCCTCCCCTGATACCCAGGGACCCTCTGGGGCCCCGGCCTTCCAGCAGCTGGGAGCACCTCCTAATTAGATAGATGACTTTGTAGTGGGTGTTTGCCCAGGAAACAGGAGGTGCCGGCTAAATTAAGAGGAGAAGGAAAGAAGAATCCATTCTGTGAAATGGAATGCCCCACTGCTTTATGACTATTACTGTTGTAAGGTTTTACATTTAAGTACCTGAGGTTTAAAATTAAATGTCTAATATAATTTGGCATCGCTAACATGAGCCTCGCATCTGCCCTTAGAGAAAATCCGACAGCTCCGTTCAGGGTTTCAAATTGCCGTCTGCTGGCTTGCGCACAACACAGAGGATTGGCTGGCACTCGCGCTAAGTACCCCATGCTGCTTGGCGTAATTTTTTAAATGCAGAACATATTCATCTTGTGCCTCTGCATTGAAAAGGGCTGCTCCAGTAGTACATGAAAAATTAATTTTTTTAGATTTTTCCTCACTCTCCTAAGTGTTTGACAGAAGTAATTTTTGCAGCAAGAGAGAATAAAAACTGGTGGCTGTAAATTCCTGTCCCAGAACCTCTTGTGTAGATTCTTTATGGGCCCAGAATTGATCTCCATGTCAGATGCTGTTGTGGTTTAAACTGTTTATCACCGTAATGGCAGGAGTGAGCCCGAGAACACCAACTTATAATCCTGGGTGAAAGAAATTGGTGTTTGCAGTCAATGAAAGGGCAGCTTAGCTTTATTGATAGATTCAGAACAATTATCTCTGCAGCAGCTATTGGCTGAGGGTTTTCTTGGATCTTACTGGAAGCTTATCATTTTGTTTTCTTGGTTAATCATGCTTTGTGCAGGTCATTTTCTCTAGAAGCAGGAGCCAAGGGGTAACACTCCTGGGGAAGCAGGGCCCCCCTGGGGCCATTTGTCATACACTAGGATGTCATAGTTGTACCTCGAGGCAAGATGTGTTTTGGGAGCATCTCATGTGCGCTGAGAGCCAGCGCTGATGTCAGGGGGTGCAGCCTCTGTCTGTCGGGCTTGCCATGTGTCGGATTAGACCAGGCTGCTGCTCCCCACCCCTTCACCCTCCTCAAACGCCAGCCTTGGCTGATGGCCTCCGCTGTTGTTGCCGTGGCAGCTGTGCTTCCCACCTCTTGACTGTCAGGTTGTTCTGATAGCTCCACCCCCTCTCCGATTGCTTCAGTCCAGCAGTTTATCTTCTGCCTCACTGCCAGCATCACTTGATACAGCATTTCTTCGAGTAATTCTCCAGCATCGTGCTTCAGCTTGCTCCC